TTAAAAACACTGATCATTTATTGAACAGGATGGAATAATTTTATATCTAAAGAACTTTCAGAAGTTTGAATTCTGAATATGACCGGACTTTTCCTTTAAAGTGATCAGAAGACGTTCAGGGGCGTTTTGGGGGGGTTCTGCGGCGCTCGCGGCCGGTTTGCGGCGGATGCGCATGGGCCCCGGCTGTGGGCGCGGCCGCCTGTGTGTTTTTCGTGGGTGGTGCGGTCACGTTGGGTGTTGCCGCTAAGACGGTCTTCACGTAGGTCTTAAACTGGACCATCAGTGAGTTGATTGTGTTGCTACAGCAGCAATAGCGACTCTTCAGTTGAAAACGCTGGATCTGCTGGATGTGGAACAAGTTATTCCAGCATTGCATGAAGGACGGTGGGAGTTTGTTTGTCTGCAGTTCGACTGAGAATCTGTTTCTCTTTGCTGCCAGCTTCGCTGAGGTCAACCAGACGTCTCTGGTGTGGTTTTGCTCTCCCCGCACCTCTTCCCAGTGGCTGGACCACTGGGCACGGCAGAGGCTGAAGTGGTGGAGGAAGGTGAGGAACCGGAATGATAACGACCAGATTATCCATCCCCACGTTTAGCCGTTGGTTTCAGCGCCTCCATTGTCGTGTCCTTTTCTTCCTATCCAGTTTGCCCTGTCCCCCTCTGACTTCAGCAGCATTGAGGTGCCTGAGAACGAGCTTCAAGAGACGGCGTCTCGGGGGATGAAGATCTTGTTCAATTTCCCATGGGGTCCCGAATCCCTGGAGACACTATGGTGTCGAGGAGACGCAGAACTTCTGCAGACATACAAGGGGGTCCGCAGCAAACTACAGGTCCGCCTCATTCTGTTACACCCATTCTTCTCAGCTGGGTTTCTGCTCAGAAAACCGGTCGTCTGCATGTGTGTCGCAGTCAACGCAGATATGTCCACCCCACCTTCTGCAGAAACACTTGTACACCTCCCCAAAATTTTAGGTGACCGCAGAGAGGAGGTCTCTGATTGGTCAATTCTGCTCTAGACTATTTATGTTTTCTGTTTGGTAACTCAATGGTAAAGTAAATGATTCTTATTTCAACTGTTGCGTATATTAGCTGCGACATACGACGTACCGTTGAGTTGCGTCCCAGTGTTCACGGGGATGGACGTCTGTGTCTTCAGCAGGCGTAGAGCTAACAGAACTGGCAGCGTTGCGAGGCAAGGGCTCAAACATG